CACCTCAAACTTAGTGTTGTGCCTGATGGAGGGAAGCAACACTCCAACATCTCCAAGGTGGGGGTGAGGGGATCCTTCACCATGTGCCTCAGCTGACGGAGCCAATGAGGGGCTCCACATCCCCATCTGGTGAGACACACTGGGTCCTGGCAGCATTTCAGCTTCAAGAGCTGCTGCTCCAATGTCCCACAGGTCCTCGTGGACCACTGCAGCTACATCATGGACCACAATGCTGGTAGCCTGGGCACATGCGTGACCCTGGTTCCTTGGGACGTGCATGGGGCAGGTGGCCCCAGGACAGCAATCACAGAATCTCCTGTGCTGTCCAGAGCATGCCTGTCTAACGTGATCTGATCAAAGACACGAGCAGGCTGTTTCTGTCTGCAGTCGTAGTGGCAAGACCAGGCTCTACAATATCTGTACTTCAGCCTGGCTTTGACTCTGGGAGCAGCCTGGGGTTTTGAGTGCGCCTGACACACAGCTCTGGTTTAGCACAATCACAGCCCAAAACATCAGCTCAACATTTTACCAGCACCTTCTGGGTAACAAATGCATCCTCTTTTGCATCCATTCTAGCATGCAGGGACACTGGTACCCTGGGGAGCACCTTGGCATGGGTTTGCATCAACAGACCACGAGGTGGACATGCTTGTGAGACCTGGGCACAGGTCTGCTGCGGTCTGGGCTCATGCAGTAGTGTTGGGACACTCGTGCTGAATGCCAGAGGAGGAGGCTTTGCACCCCGGGCTGGCAGCAGCCTCTGGAGCTTTGAACTCTGGCCAGGACATTGGCACCACTTTGGGGAGGGCGGAGGCCTTCTGTGCCGCACCATGCTGTAGGACATGAGCCCTGCATTGCACCCACCAGCACGCACGCCTCACTGCAGCACCTGCCAACGTCTCTGTAGAGCAGCCAAAAGGACTCTGACATCCCACACTGCACAGGCTGTGTGGGACACAACCCGATCCCTGTCCAGTGCTGTGGCTGAGACACCAGTACTGCATTTGAGCGGACACTCTTTTCACGTGCTGTGCTCCAGAGCGGTGCTGCACAAGGGACTGCTCCTCAAAGGACCACAGCATGGAGGATGTTTGTTCCAGAAGATGCTGTTCCTCTGCAACATGCTGAAGGATGCTACACCTCATAGCTCCTGGGAAAAGAAGGGATGCCCTGCTAGGGAAGGGCAGAGCTCTCTACCCCTCATACCATGCTTCAGAGGATGCTGGTACATTGATCTGGCATCCAGAGTTCCTGCTGCCCATGGGGACATTGAGACCACACAGCAGTGCTGCAGAACACTAGTACACTGCAGATCTCCACAACGACATGGCACCGTGAGGCTGTTAGCACCCTGCACGACCCTCCAAAAGCTGCTGCCAGGGGTCCATCACTCTGCAGTGCAGAACAGCATGGCCAGTCCCTGGCCCGCTGCGCTAACCTAAGACTCATCCACTTGCAAAACATGTGCTATGCATGGCAAGATGGGGACAGCACACCTGGACATCAGAGCTGCTCACCAGCGTACAGCACCCTGCACTGCACTCCAGCAAACCTTGGCACAACAGACTGCACCACTGCAATCATCACGCAGCCCATGCAACACTTGGGATGATGCCAGCACCCTGTAAGACCCCAAAGAAGACCTCAGAGCACTCTGCCACGTCCCAGAGGATTCTGCATCCTGCACCACGCTCTGCCATGCCCAAGCACGGCAGCAGCCCGCTCACAGTGGAAAGCCACAGACACTGGTGGGAGAGGGAGCAGGGGAGGGCTGGTGGCAGGGCTGGGCGCTGATTCAGCTGTTCTGGCACAGCTGTGCCACCGAGCACTGGGTGCAGGGAGGGAGGTGCTGGGCGGGGAGGGAGCGCGCAGGTTTCGGCCCCGGCGCACACGGAGCCAGGCTGGCGGGGGGCCAGCGCGCTGCCGAGACAGGCAGCGCTGTGGGAAGCAGGGAGTGCCTCTGTACCCCCACCCTGGGCGCTGCCAGCCCCAGGGGACGGGCAGAATGGCTGCAGCGCCTCTGCTCTGCACCGGGCACCGGCACTGGCAGGGCCCTGCCCTTGCCTGCCAGAAAGGTTTTGAGGATGGACCTTCAGAGCCTGGGCGAAGGGGATATTTTTTTCTAAGCCAGATATACTTTTCTGCCCCAAGCCATGCCCCTGGGTCCATACATCAGCCAGGCTGGAAATGTTACTTGCTGGACCTTCACTCAGCCACCCTCCAGGGACTTCATGTCCCAGCACTGCCACCCTCCCCAGCTCTTCCCTTTTGTCCCAATAAGGGGTCAGGCTCATCCCTCCACACCTCATTTTTGAGGAGGTGGGTGATAGGGGGCTGGTTGCCCTCCATTTACTGCCTCACTGAAGCTGAGGCTTCCCAGAGCCTTGCTTCCCAAAACCTGATGGCACATATTGAAGTAGGCAAAATAAGTTGTCATCCAACAGACAGCACAAGGGAGAAACCTGCAGGATGTCCCCATATCACTGAGTCTGGGATGGGGAGGACAGGCAGCCCCAGCAAGAGGAGAGACAAAATGTCTTGCTAAGGGACAAGAAGCCTTTGAAGATCCTGTGCACCCATCCCTTCCCCACTGCTCTGGGAAATGCCTCACGGATGCTGTTTAACAATAGCATGGGACAGCTTGCCCCAGGAAATGGTCATGCAAGCCCAGTGTCTTCTCCTGGCTGACAGTCCAGATCCATGCACCAGGAACGCTCAGGATTATGCAGCTGATGTGTCCTCATAGGCATTGCATGTGGGAGGATGCTATGGAGATGCCTACAGCTAGGTGAAAGAGATCTTCACCCCTGAAAGGACAGATAAATGGTCTCTCTACACTTGGATAAATGGTCTCTCTACACTGACTCATCTCAAGTCTTCATTGCATGCTGTCAGAAACACACAGAGGAGGCAAACACAGTTGGTCTGAGCCCTTTAGGAAGAGGTGGAAATAGGAATGAAAATGGCCTGGAAGCAGAGTTCGTGACTAATCCTTGGACCAAGGGGCTTGGAAGCAGTGCTCCTGTCCATGCTGTTCCACAGGGCCAACCCTGGCACAGAGAGGAGCGAGGGGGGCTATGGTACAGGAAAAGCAGGAACTAAAGTGGCCATAACTAGGATTGCCCCAAACTGCAGCAGGAAAAGCAGGTCAGACCACTGAGGTCTGTTACAAAACCTCCCAAGGACTGCAGATGTGAGTTGCTGTGAAGCAAGGGGACATGTTATTCAGGAGGTCCTGGATGGTTGCTGCATCCTCTTGCACCCCAGGGAGTGGGTGTGCAACTGCGCTTGCTCAGCCAAGCTATGCCAGGACTGTCCTGCGCCTGTTTCCTCTGAACTCAGAACTTCAGGATGGAGACAGCACCCGCACCCCCTCACCGTTCTCTTTATTTACAGACACAACATCAACTGGGGGTGTGGCAATGAGAAGCGGCGCCTTGCGAAGCATCTGCCCACCCAGCCAGCACTGTGCCTAAAGCAAGGTCTTTGCTCGGTGCAGTGGGAGGGCGGTGGGCGCGTGGTGCAGGCTCCATGACGTGGGGAAGCCAGCTGGTCGACCAAAAGGCAATACACCCCTCTGTGGCTGAGCCTCCTTTGCCTTCTGAGTCATCTATTTCCACCGTCCGCCCACCATGGTCTTCCCACGGGCAGCCTTTGACCTGGAAGGGAAGCAGAAAAGCACGTGCAAAAAGGTGTTAGTGACCGTGAAAGAAGGGAGAAGGTGGGTGCCATCGGAGGCCCTGCAAAGAGGACCAAGCCATCTGCAGCTGATGCTCACTGCCCTGTGGGGAGGAAGGTCTTCAGTGGCCCCAGGTGAAAGCTTGGGATCTCACTCTGTGTGTTTTGGGACTCTATGGGAACAAGCTCATGCATTTTGCCAAGTGCTTCTAAGGAGCCCCAGTTCCCTTCCCATGTTCCTCCCACCCAAGGATCCTTCAGAGATGAAATGAAGGAGTTGGATCTTGGCTGTGGAGGAATAAGGACAGCTGCAGGATCCTTCTCCAAAGAACCAGAAGCTGTGAAGCTGTTAGCCAGGACCCAGCACATCACTCTCCTTAACCAGCATCAGGGGAACAGGCACTGCTCTGGGCATGGCCCAGCAGAGAGGAGGAGGAGGAGGCTCGGGTGGGCAGTGAAGGGCATTTCTGGCACATTATCCCAAGAGTCACCAGCCCAGCCCTGGCTGCCAGTCCTCAGCCCTGCTGCTAGCCTGATGTCAGCCCCGGTGTCCATGCAGCACACGTGCAGTGGGAGACACACAGCACTCAGGAAACACCCGTACTCACCCTTTGCTGCAGTAACGGGCCGTGTTGGGGCAGAAGAGAAGAGAGATTTGGTGTAAGCGGGGGGGATGCTGCTGACTGTCACACAGGACAGGCTGAGCAGCTCTCATGCGAGAGAGCAGGGTGGGATGGGGATGCGAGAGCAGCATCGTGCTCCTGACGGTGGGGGTTAAACACCCACCTCCACCCTCCTACAAAGGGTTCCCCAGTCCTGTGCAGGGGACATGGGCACAGGGACAGGCTCCCCTGTCCTTGTGGGGCTGCACAGCTCCCAAAGCCTGCGGAATTTCCCCTCCTACACAAGCTGGGATCTCCAGCACCTTCTCTGAGATGCTGGGCAGAGCCACTGCAGGGATGGGGGTGGCTGGAGGCTGGCAGGACCCCACAGGACACAAGGCTCCATGTGCAGAGGTGGGGTCTCCCCGGGGTCCCTCCCCAGCCTGGGTCTCTGGAGCAGGGGGAAGCTGGTGGAGGTGGGAGGCAATGGGGGTCTGTCAATGGGAGCAGATCAGCATGGACCAAGGTCCCTGGGCCAGACCTGCACATCCATGAACACCGGGTACCAGTGGGATGAGGTGCAGGAGTGGGAAGGACAGGAGGTGGCTCTGCGAGGGTGCAAGAGAGCCAGGAGTTACACAGGCAGGGAACTGGGGCCAGGGGAGCAGGGAGCTGGAGGGCAGGAGGCGTCAAGGAAGGATGCTCAGCCTGTCCAGGGACTTACACTTTCTGGTGGTCACTAACACGATTTCGGAGGACGTTGATCTGCAAGAGAAACACAGGTGGATGGTGAGACCCAGCAGGATGCCCCATGCCTGGCTGGGGACAAGGGTTGGGGAGAAGGTGCATCACTGCCCTCTCCAGCGGTTCTTGCATGGGGTTTAGCACGGGGTGTGATGTGCAGCACAGCGGGAAGCCTGTTGCAGTGCAAAGCACACATCCCCAGGAGCTAGGAGGTCACAGGGCCACCACACAGCCCCTTTCACCAGCTGCCACATCCTCCAACATTTCATAGCTGTGTGCTCAGCCTTGCCAGGGTGGCCAACAACTGCTGGGAGGGTTGGTCTGATCCTGGCTCATCTCTAAAAGGGAGGCAGATGTGGCTTTGCTTTCAGTGGTGGCCTCTTGGGCGTTTGTCACCCCATGCACAAGGGGGGCACGGTCCTTTTCTGACACACCCAGCTGTCCTGCTTCAGCACCGTCAGCCAGACAACCCAACTCATCTCCCAGATGGGGAGCAGAAGGAGCAGCCAGGCACACAGAGGGTCAGCAAGCTCACGGGGGACCTTGTGGCTCACCTCATATTTCTGCCGCTTGAACTTTTCCTGCAGGTCAAATTTCTCAGCCTCCAGATCGCGGATGGTTTGCCATAGCTCCTTGGCCTTGTCCCTGTGGGAAGAGCCGGCTGGTGTCAGTGCAGAAAAGGGATGTGGCTCACAGGGAGCTCACTGCAGGGGACAGGGCAGTGGTGCCACCATCTCGCCTGCTCCCCCAGGATGGGTATCTGCAGGCTCCGTGCCCAGCCGGGGATGCGCTGGCCAGTCCCACGCAGGGACCGAACGCATGGGTTGGGACACAGGGGGACACGAATGTCCCACGCGTGTGAGCGTGGCTCCCTCTGATGGCCGGCGCTGTCAGCAGCAGCCTGGCAGTGGTGGCCCGGCAGAGCCACGGAGCCCATGTTCCCGGTGGGATGTCACAGCCCATCTCCCAGCTGTGCCATCACCCTCTTGTCTGGGCTGCAAGCCCCAGGCAGCCCACCTTGGCCCAGGATCCTGCCCCAGGAGGTGGGACCCAAAGCAGAGCCCCTGTCCTGGACATCCCTCCTGCAGCCCGTGCTCACCTCAGCTTGTCTTCATTGAGGTGGTCGATGTTCAGGGGCTTCCGCCGTTCGCTGAGGATCTTCTTCTTCTTTTCCCGCTCTGTTTGCTTCTTCCCACCTTTTTTCTCTGACTGAGGAAACCATCAGTCCATCGGAGGGAAGGAAATCTGCCCAGCTTTTGCTCTCCATCTATCCCCAGCTCTGCCCCCAACACCCTCTGCTTTTGGGACTCCAGAAGAACATAAGGTCCTCAAGGAACTTCTGGCAACAGTGGACAAGACACCCCCCACTCCCCCATCCCTGTCCCTGAGGCAAGGCTGGACCCCCCCTGGCCAGCATGTGCAAAGCAGAGCACTCAGCTCACTTTGGCCCTCTGACCACTGCTGTGACCCAGCTGTGGTGGCCTGTCTTCTTCTGCTTGTAGAAACCACAGTCTACTAGCACTGAGAATGTGCATGGTGCTGTGGGGCCAGCCCATGGTCAAGCCCTTCCCAGGAGCACCAGCGGCTTCTTTGCAACTGCCTGGGGTAGGATCACACCTTCTGCATGTAGCCTCCAAAATGCAGCATGTTGGAGAAAGCTTTCTTCTTCCGTGCTTCCTCCTCAGCCTTCTTCCGGGCCTCCTCTTCCTCTTTGCGGGCTCTTTCTTCCTGCCAGGGTCAGAAGTGGGTCAGGAGCAGATGGACAGAGACTTCAAGGACTGACTTGCATGCAACACACAGCTCATGCTCCCATGGGCTCCATGGCTGGACTTGTGCTACCCAAGACCAGCCCAAGCCCCCCAGCCCTGGAGGGAGACTCACAGCCATGCGGGCTTGGCGCTCCTTCTCCCTCTCGCTGCGAATCCGCTGCTGCTCTGCCCTCTCCGCTCGCCGCTGTTCCTGCAGGAGGAGATGACATTGGCTTGGATGCCCCAAGGCATCTGCATCCTCCCTGTCCCTCAAAAATCCCTCAAAAGCCCTGAGAGCCCCAGGGGCAGATCTGCTGCTCCCATGTTTCCCAGGAGAGCACATAGAACAGAGCACACAGGGGAAGGTCCATCTCTGTTGGGCACTGCAGCCTTGCAGCAGCCAGACTAGGGGCTTCCCAGGCAACGGGGTACAAAATCTGGCTCAAATCTCAGGCTCTGTCTTGCAGAGACATGGGATGTCTCAGGTCTTGCGGTCGGGACTGTGGGGAAAGGATTGTGGCTGTTTGCCCACAGGGGAGAGGGTCGCAATAGCCATAGAGGAGGGAGGGCTGCAGACGTACAATCCTGTCCTTGAGGGAGATGAGCTCCTCTTCCTCCTTCTTCCTGCTCTCAAAGTGGGCTTCGATGAGGGCCTGCAGTTCATTCAGGTCCTTCTCCATGCGTTTGCGGTGGATGTCCTGCACCGGATGGAAACAGCAGCGATGGCTACACTCACACAAATGAAGCCCTCCAGGAGCTGCAGAGCTGCTGGGCACGGTGTGGAGGAGCAATGCGAGGGGAGCACCTCACGGGGGTGCTCCCTCACTCACATCAAAATCCAGTCTCTCGCCATCTGGGATTTTGGGAGGCACGAGGTTTGGCATGAAGACCCTGCAATCGAAGGTGAGCAGGAGGATGGTGAGCCTGCAGCGGATACCTGGGACAGGATGGTGCCTTTCATTCATGCACTGATCTACCCAGCCCTCCTCTCTGAGCCTTGCAGTCCCCAGGGATGCAGAATGAGCATATTTGGAGGACAGAGAAATGTAATGCTGCTTGCTGGAGGTTGCCAGCTGGACAGCCTCAGAGGAAGACCTCTGGCATTCCCGGGAAGCACTCCAAGGCATGGCTGGAATAACTCTGCAAGCTGCAGGCAACTTGGCCATGACCCTTTGCCAGGCACCCTGGGGCTGGCAACCACCCCACTGCTCACCCAAAAGAGCACAGAGGAACTGTGTGCTCCAGTGTGACCTGGCACAGAGAGCTGGAAACCATCTTCTCATCCTCTGTGGGCTTGAGGGAGGGCAGGAGATGCTCAGATGCACATAAAGACACAAAGGGATGAAGAGATCATGACTGAGGACAGATCTGCCTCCCAGACCGCAGCATCCCAGGGGTCCATGAGGATTTGCAGTTTCCTGGCAATGGTTCATGGTCTCACTCCTTCAGGAAGCTGCTCCTGTCCCAGGGATGCTGGCACTCATGCAAATGCCTGCCTCATGCCAGCCGTGGCCAGGGGCATACTGGAGAAGCAAGACCCTGGCTGTGCCATAGACCACGTACCCCAGGCTGGGGTGCACATAGACTTTTTCCAGCTGCAGGGCCACAGGGCAGCGGAGCCTCCTCCAAGGAGCACACAAAATGCTTCAAGGCTTCATTCCTAGCATCCTCTTCATATTCTATGTTTATCTGCCTGTTTCTCTCCCTTTTTCTCTCCATGTCCCTGTCCCCACCCTGCTTTCATGCTTTTGAGGCCTCACTGTCCCATGCCCTTTATGGATCATAGTGCTAAGCCCATCACACGGAGCCTCTGCCCTGGCACAGCTCCTAGTTCAGACCTTGTACCTGAGAAAATGCACCAACACTTACTTGGGTTTTGGCTTCGATTCACCTGCAGGTCCCCGGGAGCAGGACAGAAAGGCAACATTAGTGTCACAGAGGCATTTGCTTTCACACCTTAACCCAAAACCCACTACACTGAACTGGGCTACCCCTCTCCCCCAGCAGCACAGCCTGCACTGTGCATCATCCTCCAGCAAAGAGGCATGCAGTGAGGTGTCCATCTGTATGCTAAAACGCGAGACACATTGATGCTCCTGGCTGAGCAGAAAGGTGTTTGCTACCTCCTTATACAGGCAAAGGGACAACCGCTCCCACCCCAGAGAGGAACGATGATGGATACTTCACCTTCCCCAGGCTCCTGCTCTCTGTCCCCCTCTCCACCTGTGGAAAACATGATGCTATGGCTCCCAGAAGCCAGCCCTTCTGTGCACCGTGCCCGCAGACACATCAGGGTGGTTCAGCCAGGCTGTTCCCCTCTGCCCTGTGCTTATCCCCACTGCAAAACCCAGCTCCATCCCTCCAGGATGAACGGGGAGAGAGCAGTTCCCTCATGGACATTCCTCACCCACAGACAGACCAGGAGAGCCCCAGGTCCTCTCCAGAAGGAACCCAGACAAGCTTTGTTCAGGCTGGGAAAGCAGTAGTACTGTCCTCCTGTATTTTGGGTGATTTCTTACCTAGGCAGCACAAAGCCACCCCTCCTGCAGCCTCCTGCTGCCCCAGCCCTGGCAGAGGACGAGGCCAGGGCAGCTCTGCCCCATTTGCTGCAGATTCCCTCTCTCCAGCAGCAAATGAATTCAACACTGAAAACCCCAGTGGGGTCAGTGTCTTGGGGGACTGGGATCAGGACTGAAATGGCCCAAACTGCCTCTCCTCCATTCCTGGTTTACCTTCTCCTGGCGCTTTTGTTCCATCTTCTTGTTCTGTTTCAAAAGCAATGGGGAGAATATGAGCATCAGTGGGTGAGGGCAGCCACATGCCCCCAGCACAGAGGGGTCCTGGCACCCTAATTCAGAGAGCACGGCTGGGATACTACCAGCCGTGACAGCATGGGGACATCAGGCACCCAAGTCTGCTCCAAAGAGGTCTCATGAACCTTTCAGTGCTCTTTGGGTGGTGAGACACGTCAGAGCATGACCCCAGCTCTGGAAATCCCCCCTCTAAGGCTATGGGGACCTCTTGGTGGAACAAACTTAACTCATTTTTGGTATTATTTGAGAGTGCTGGACACAAACTCTTTGATCAGCGATCAGCAGAAAACACCATTATACTCATGCTTGCAGAGCCAAGGCACTTGGTAGATCAGGAAAGGGCAGCTCACTTTTGACACCTCCTTACTGGAAACCACAGATACGGGGGAGATCTGCCCCTCTGTGCTACTGGCCTGCTGTCACAGGCCACGCTGGGACATCCCAGACCCTGCTCGGCACCCCACCGAAGCAGAGCATGGCTCCAGCCAAGCCATGGGAGCTCACTGGTGAAGCCACCACGCACCTTCTGCCTTAGTTTCTTCGGTCTCCTCCTCTGCCTCCTCTACCTGTTCTTCCTGACCTGTGGAATAACAAGCAGCATGAGCCCAATAGCCGCCGCTCCCACTGGCTCCCTACGGACCCCAATATCAGGACAACTGCGTCACGGAGCCAGCTGAGAGAGAGACCCAGGGGAGACGTAGCCGCAAGAGAAAGAAGCAGTGGCTCAGAAAGCAAAGGGCTTTGCTCTAAACTTTACCCAAGGGCTGCTCTCTGTGCTTGGGCAGGGAAAAAAAAATTAAAGGATTTATAGCCACCTCCTGGTTTGTCCCTCATTCCCTCTCGTGCTATCATGCTCTTATAACCCAGGTTGGGGGTAGTGATTTCTATTGCTCTCCTCCAGCCAGTGAAGAACAAGACTGGCTGGCATTAGAGAACGTGCCTTCGGCACCTTCACAATCTTATTTATGACACTGTTGGAGCATTTTTCCACTGGAGGGAGCAGTATCCCCACAAGAGTCCTCCATTGGAGTCAGAGCAATGCTGGGGCCCACAGGTCCCAGGAAGACTTGTGGTCCCACAGCAAGAAGGAAAGAAAAAAGAAGATAGCAAACCATGAATGCATTTGGTTGACAGATGGAAGAGAAGCCACAGACACAGGAGCAGATACACACAGCACAACAGAGCAGGAAGGGGGGAGTGCAAGAAGCAAGAGAAAGAAGTGGAAGAATGAAAGAAAACCATTTCCCAACCAGGGAGAGACAAAAGACACACCGACCCACGACATATTCACAGCAGCAGTGGAGAGATGAAATAAAGAAAGGTGCAATAACTACCGTCTTCTTCCTCTATCCATTCTTCCTCTTCTGAGCCAGGGAGGAGGGAAAGGAATAAGTGCAGAGGTTAGTCGGGCGCCATAAAGCTGCGGAGTGTAGCTATGGCGTGCATGAGATGAGGACTCTAGCACTGCAGGGGTTTCCCCCTTGTGCCTCTCTTTGCTTTTAACATTCAGGAGGTTTTGCCGTGCAGCAGCCCGGGCTGCCTGGCAGTGCCCTGAAGCAGCAAAAGGAGCAGCAAAACCCAGCTGCCAAACCCAGCCCCAAATGCACAGCCCAGCTGTGTCCCAGAGCGGCTGTGTGCACCATGGGCTTTGCTTCTTCATCGGACTGAGGCAGCTGGAGGTTTGTGCTTGAGCAGTGTTAATCTACATTCAGCTGAGGCTCCAGCTCCCATTGAGTTATTGGGCTCACACCTCTGCCAATGCCCGAGTCCAGCATTTCCACCCCTGTTTTGAGTCAAAGGATCACTCTGACAAAAGAGTTCCTGAGAAAATTCAGATTGGTTTTGATCCTACTGATGTTTCAGGTGGAGAGATCTAGAATATGGTCTCATCTGCCTTTCCTGGACATGATTTGCCCATCACAGTCAAGGAGCTTACCACCACAACCCACCCAAGCAAAACACTGAACCAACAGCCCTGGTCTCTTGGTCCTTGCAACCGCTGGTGAAACACCTACCTTCTTCCACATACTCCTCTTCACAGAGCACACGTGCGCACGAGAGAGAGGGAAGAGAAAGAAGATGCAGGTTATTGAAGTTGCTCTGATCATTTCTTAGCTTCAGCCTCAGGACAGCTGCAGATGCTCCACGTCCTCTTACCTTCCTGCTCCCTGCAAAGCACAACACAGATTTGCAGAGTTACAGCGGTCTGCTGCGCTGGGGCATGTGTGTGCCGTTAGTGAGGCCAAAGGGGAATGTGAAATTTCCTCAAGGCTGGCTCCCCTTTTTCGTAGCAATGGGCAATGAGTGCTGGGCTGGCTGCTGTAAGGTGGCAGTGGGGATGGAACAGGACCCAGATCACCCTGCAGGCTGCGGATAGCAGGAGCTGAAGTGCTCGACTGACACTTCGACAGTGGTCAGAGCACAACACCATTTTGCAGCTTGAGAAGATCGAGTGACCATGGCCTGTAATCCTAGAATCAGGCGTGTCACATCCCACCTTTGCCCCAACGTCCTTTCCTGACCTTGGGGGAGACACACAGTCCTCGGTGTGCCCAGGGGACATTGGGAACAGGGGTCAGACTGATTGCTGAGACATGCAAGTCTGCCGTGGCATTTTAACATAAGAGAAGGATTCAGATCTACTTTTTCTGCTGGTGGATGAGAAGTAGGAGCTGTGTTTGGACTGATCCCTGTAACCGTGCATCACAGCTATTGAGCCCCTTCTCTCCAGAGTGTGCCTCATGGCCCAGCAGCCCTCCCCAGCAAGAGCTGCCCTCAAATTTGGGCCTTGGGGAGTGATGCTCTGCATGTGGCAGTAGGACCCCAGCAGCAACAGACTGATGACATCAGCTTTTCCCAGCTCTATCTCACTGATTTAGACTGCAGCATTTTTAATGCAGGGACTGTCCTTTGCAACGTATGTGCTGATACAGCTCCTGACGCAAAACTCCCCGCTTGTGGGGGTCTCAGCACTACCACAGCAGCGGTGCAGATGGGCATGGGGTGGGGGAATTTAATGCTGGGTGCTGGGGTAATGATGAGAGCTGGTTCCCCCCGAAAGGCACCTCTAAGCAATACGCAGCGCTGTGGGAAAGTGGGAATAAGGAGAAAGAAAGGGTGTTTAAAAACACACCACTTACTGCTCATATTCTTCGATGACCTCTTCAGAGTCTGACATGCCTGGTTATCTAGCAGAATTCAAGGCAGATTGGAAAAAGCAAGGGTTAGGACCTGAGATAAGGACAAGCACAGCCTGTCCTCCAGCGCCTGAGACACGGGCACAGAGATGCTGCGTCTCTCCAAAGCACTTGGAGCTTCGAGCTGTCCCCAGCCGGGCTGTGACAGCATTATCTCGGCAGAGATAAGGGTCCCCCCTCCCCTCCTGTCCCAGGATCACAGCTTGCACCAAATGGGAGGCAGGAGATTAGACACAGCCTCATGCAACACTGATAACTGCTGTCAGGAGCCACGTCCAGGACACGCAGCTCCCCTGGCCGCGGCTGTCTCAGGGTGCTGTGTTTGCTCAGGGCACAGGAAAATAACCCAATTATAACGTTCATATTGTTTTGTTTCCTGACTATTCTTAGCTTGGCTGGGATATAGAAACTTGCAGGGATGTCCCGTTATCTCGAATTTATAGCCCTGCACAAGCCACAGCACGAGATCTCAGTGAGACCTCCCAGCCCAGCCCTCCAAGTGCAGAGAGTGCTCTGGAAAGGGGTGATCTGGGCTCAGCAGGAGCATTTGTCTCCTGGTCTTGGCCCTGAGACTGACGTTAGCTAAAAGGAATAGTTCACAGCCTGATTTAGCAATAGGACTAATAACTCTGCAGAAACGGCCATGATCATCTTCCCAGCACACCCGTCTCCCTCCCAGCCATGGTCAGGAGGACTTTACTCACCGCCCCACCTCATCTAGCTTCCACCCAATGCTCCACCACAAGGTCTGCACAGACCACCCCATGATCAGCCCCAGCCCTGGGCATCCCGGAGAAGCCCTGAGCATCAGCCCAAGCCCCTGCACAGCCTGTCCACCGCTCATGTTCGTGCCAGACCTCAGCAAAGCTGAGATGCAGCAGGACAACGCAAGGCAGCTCTAGAAATAACTTCCATGTGCTAAACCACCTGTTCCCAGAGCAGCGCCACTTCACTTCTCCTCCTGCCGGGTGTCTGGGAACAACTGGTTCTGGCTACATCTGTTGGGTATTTATTACCCGGGATGGGTAGGACAGGCTTCAGGATCGCTTATTCAAGATGCTGAATCCAGGACTGGAATCCGCAAGCACGGGAAAGATGCATTACAGGAGGGGTGCCTCTGCATACCTGTGGTTCCCAGGGGGTTGTCAAATCTCACTTCTGGGCAATGAGTCAGAAGGTGTTTTTTGGAGACAAATGAAGTCAGAACTCAGCCCCGTCAGCCTCGGGTTCACCGCCTGCTTCTGCCATCATCATTCCCTTCCCTCTGATGCATCTGGGGTTTGGCCCTAAGCACCCCCCTCCAGCACCACCCCCTTGATCTCTGCTCTCCCTTGAACATCAATTCCTGGCCCTACTTTTCCGCCAGGCTCGGCATGGTCCTGCTACTCCCAGAGTTTGGCCAAATCATTTACGTGGCCTCTGAGCACCCAAGACTTCATGTTGTCCTTTCACAACACAAGAGCAGAGACTCCCTCCTGGCCACGACAGTGCAAGCATGCAGTTGTGAAAGCTTATTTTTACATTTCCTTTCACCTCCTCTCTCATACATCACTAGATCCCACAGAGCATTTGCTGAGCAACAGCAACAAAAGGATTGTTAACGGGGTACACAAGAAAAACTAACATTACATCAGGAAGTGGCTCTAGGAAATATTTATCCATCCTCTGCACAGAAACTGATAAACCTTTCTGTTAAAGCTTTGAAATCTTGTTTTGAAAGAATAAGGAGAACCCAGCAGACGTATTACAGAGTAAAGAGGAAACATTGCACATATTGACTGAAAAAAACATTTCCCATCGTTTGCGGTGGATTAAATACTCCAGATATCCCTCCCGCTCCTTAAAATCCCCCTCTCCATTAGCTCAGGGCTGGCTGGTCACACCTCTGGGGGTGAGTTAATCCTCCACAGTTCGCAGTCTCTGCTTTCCTCCAGGCTACCCAGACATGGAGCTCTCATTTCCCAGCATTTGCTCCAGCATGGGTCACATCGCTGCTCCCTTCCCGCTTGGCAGGGTCAGACCATGCACGGGAGCATCCCACCTCTAACCCACCCCACGGGCTGCCAGCGAGCCAGGGCCGGGCTGGCCTGACTCCCCCACGGGCATCGCATCCCTCCTGTCCCCTCCAGAGACACAGGGAATAGGGATCTATGAGATTCGCCCGGCACCAGGGCAGCCAAAATCCTTCTCAGGCACCTTGGCACACATCGGGGTGGTTCAAAAGGCACTGGGCAAGTTGCAAACACAACCCCCTGGAGAGGCTCCTGATGCTTTATCCATGGGAATGCCTTCATGGCAAAAATACATCCCAGTGCAAGCAGCTGGGGAGGACCATTAACCCTAAGCCAAACCCCTTCTAGGTCTTTAACAACAGCCCTGCCACCGAGCATCCTACGCTGTGAGCGGGCACCCCACTGCGCCAGCCTTACCTCTGCCGCGGGGCACTGGTGAGATCCCAGGGAGCTGAGGGGAAGCTGGCAGCTGTCTGGGAAATGCTCTTTGGGTGCAGGAGGCTTTAAGGGGGCTCCAGCGCCCACCCCGGGGCGGGCAGCGCCGCGAGGAATGTGCCCGGCGCCCAGCGAGGAATGCAACACTTGTGAGCTGCTATTTCGGCAGCCACGGTCCCGGCCCCCTCCACCACCCCCCCTTCCCCCCCAGGAGCCCATATAAGCCCAAGCTATTGTGTGGCCTCAGAGATTTGCTATTTTAAACCCTCTGGACTGAGATACGCAAGTGCCCAAGGGGCTGACACAAGCCAGCCAGCTGTCACTTTCTAGGGCCGGGGACGCTGATAAGGCAACACTGCCATTAGCGGAGGACTGGACCCTCCATCACAGCCCCCGACCCGGGCTCACTCAGACACTGCACCAGGTCCAAGAGGCTGTAATGAGAAGGGAAGAGTCTTGGGCTGCTTTTATTTGTCTCAGGTTTTTGCCTTTTTCCCTCTTGCCAGAAGAAGGCAAACAAACCGTTCCCAATCCCAGCCCAGGAGCAGGTGACTGGGAGCGTCTTAGAAAGAGCAGCTTTTATTAGAAAAAAAGAAAAGGCACAGAGAAAATCAAGTCCTTTCCAAAGCCCAACAAGCAAGATCAGATCCAGGGGCAGCAGTAGAGTCCCACACCAAATTTGGACACCACAGTAGTTGTTCAAGGCACAGCCCTAGCCCATTGAATGGCCCCAGCACAAGGATTTGAGCATCATTTTATGGGCTGCCCATGGCACCCTAAAGCCGGCCTCGAGAGAGCACCCCACTCCCCTGCTGGGTGGGCTCAGCAGCCTGGGGAGAGCAGGACCAGGGGTCTGCATAGCCATGGGCAAAGGGCTCAGGGCTCAGGGCAAGAGGGAAACGGGGTTTGCAGAAGGGGCCCTGCACAGGGCGCTCAGTTCCATGCAACCCCAAAAATAGGGCCATGGCCAGCCCAACCTTGCTGTATCACTAAGTGAAAGGGGTCGCTGCTTGCAGGGGGCAGCGGACGGTAAGGGCAGGGTGGAGAAGGCCAAGTCTCTGTCTTTGCCTCAGCTGCGTGCTGGAGAGAAGCACCAGGGCCATCAGGTCCACCCTTCCTCCATGAGGCATCTCCAAGCTACACTGGCGCACGTGTGACTTTGCAAACACCATTTGCCTTTGATTGGGTCCCTCCAGCAGCGACAGCCTGGGAGGGGGGCTGACATCTGCCTTCCCCACCTCACCCACACGAGCCAGGCAGCAGGGACGGACATGATCCATGGACATGCAGTGAAACTCCCTTGGCCAGGCAGCTTCTTGCTCCAGTGGCATCATCCAGCTGCAAGGGAGACGTATGGGTTGATCCCCTTTGCAAGCGCAGTTATGGGGCACAGGCAGAAATTAGGAGCAAAACACCAAAATGTTGTGGGGAAACGAGGCAAGAATCTGCTTTCAGCATTTGCAAGGAGCCTCCAGGCCTGGGCACTCCCAGACAAGCAGCGAGTGAGGACTGGGAGCGCAGGGATAATCTTCCAGTCTTCTTCCTTTCCATCCCCCAGGCAGAAGACCCCGGCGACCTGGGGTGCACACATGGCGCAGGGGGACTCTCGTGGCAGTGGGCTGCTGGACAGTTGGGTAGGGCTGGGCTTTGATCTTCAGAGCAAGACAGTTTTTCCCAGATCATCTGATATTATTACAACTGGAAAAGAAAGTGAGAAACAGTGAGGCTGGCCTGAGGCTGCAAACCCCACAAAGGCATCTACTTTAACCAGGACCATAGTTGTCCCATACAGGGAATGGGGCAGGCAGGCATCCCCTGAATCCCACCACACGCCGCTTCCCTTCCTCTCCCAGACCAGACCCCTTCTCACTCGTACAGCTGCCTCCAGTTGTCCCCTCCTGCAGACTCGCCCAAGTCAGAGGGTCCTGGATGTCCCACACAACCCCTCTCCCCCCCGTAGCCTGGTTCTCCCACGCCTGCCCTGTGGGAGATGCACCAGCGGGCAGGTCCTACCTCTGCCCCTAGCTCAGAGGACGCACCAGTTTTCAGAGCAGCTCCATGCCTACCTTGGTGTCTCCAGGGGTGTCTCCAGTCAGCTTTACCCAGACATCACGGTTTGGCAGGCTGTTTACTTTCCTGATGTCCTGCAAACAGGAGAGTCGTAAGTGGCACAAGTTTTTCCCCATGCATCATGTGCAGTGTTGCCTTGGTCTGACTTTAACCAAACCTTGAAGTATACATGATCCAGGTAAAACCAGCCAGCTTTGCGATTCTGCGCCTGGTAGACTCTCAAAACCAAGTGCAGCTCCAGCCCACAGAGATGGATGGCAGCAGGCATTATTATAGGAAAAACTAATAAAGGAGCTGCAAGCTTTACCCAAGAGTGACCCCAGGAGCAAACCCTTTCCTGGCATACAGAGCCAGCACAGCCTCCCGGTACAGACACGTTTGGGCAGTGCTAGTCTCTGCAGCTCAGCGTTGGGGGTGCCTGGGCTTGCCTTCCCCAGGCTGCAGGGCTGGGCTGGAGCTGCCCCTCCTGGTCCTGTACCCAGGCGGCTGCAGAAGACTCTGCTACGAGTAGTGGCAAAACACCTTATTGCTGTAAAACGATACCTCTCTCCAGGAGCTGCTGAAACTCTCCTTTCCAAGGCGCGGGACATAC